TTCCCCTACCCACGGGAAACCCGCCCCGCGCAGACACCACCCTTGGTGCGGACTCCACAATGACGGTGCTTGGCGTAAGTCCCACGTACCGTCCCAGCACCATGCCACAGTCATCAACTTTTTCGTGCCACTCACCAAGATGCAGCTCAACCCCTTGAGCCATGCCATCCATAGGCTTTACCTTGGTGTTTTCCACCTTCATCAATCCTTGACCCCCGTCAAGGTTCAGACTAACCCTCTTGGCCTCTTCCGCATTGATGAAGTTGTGCGACGCCCCGATGTCGACCATGACTTGGGTTGCCTCCCCATCGACCTTGTCATCCTTGTACATTAAACCCTCATCCCCTTGGGTTAATGTAGTAGGCTTTGACTCGGTGGCACCAAGTTGCTGTAGAGATCCCATGCATGCCTTCTCTTCCTTTTCCAGTTTTTCCAGCATTGCAATGAGACGACTCCTCTTAGGACAATCCCTTGCCCAATGTAGCTCATCGCAAAAGAACACAGCCATGCCTGGGCTTCATATCTGTCCTCCAATCTTTGCCTAAGTTTGTAGTAGTCTCCCTTCCGCGGTGCTCCTCCGTGTGAGTTACTCCCGATATTGTGCCCTTCCGTCCTCAAGTCACGACGCCTTCGTAACCTTTGGCTCTGATACCAACTGTCACGGCCTTGGATTTGCTGAACCAACCCTCAGTCTTTCCAAGCCAACCGTGCAGCCTTAGATGCTTATAGCACGCCTTGCTTGCACCTAAGTAAGCCTTTTGTGGAAGGGAGCTAGGGGAATGCACACACAATAGAGACTTGGAGAACTTAGAGAGAACACTTGGAGAATGCTAGCTTTGTATTACTACTTGGGTTCTTGGTTTTTTATTTGGTTGGTTTGGCCAAATGAGAGCCTCCCCTTTATATAGCCTTACATAGAATATTCTGGAACTACTATGGTGGAGAGTGTTCTAGACACTTCCTTCTATTACATCTAATAGACTATTCTAGATCTACATGGATGAAGGGGATTCTAGATCCTTCCCTCATCCTCTCAAAGAGCCTATTCTAGAACATACATACAACCTTCAAGTATTATGTACAATACTCTATATTATTCTAGAGTCTTCTAGGCAATTCTCCTGTAGCCTTTATTCTTGTAGCCATTCTAGAGAGTTCCAGAAACCTCTAGCATCCTTTATGATCTTCATCCTTTCTCAAGTCTTCTAGGAGCTTCCAAGCCATTTCACTAGTCTCTTTTCCTTGAGATTTCCTCCTGTTGGACAATTTGGTCCGGTCAAGTTGGCGGGTCGTGACACTAGTATTATGTGAACTTTTGCTTAGGTTGTTCTTGACATTTTGTAGGAAAATCAATTGATTTTTCGAGCATACATAGCTCAAGTTTTTATTATTTGGAGCGGACTATTTTCATAGATTTGCCACATACAGAAAAATCATAAAATTTCTCATTTGATAGATGGGCTGTTTGTGAAGGCTGCCATGGGCACAATGGATGGTATTATTGACACAGTCTCAGCCATTCATCCCGTCATGCCATTAATTGGTTTATTGAAGACTCAGGGAAAGCTTGTTATGGTTGGAGCACCAGACATGCCACTAGAACTTCCAGTTTTTCCGTTGCTTACAGGTAAGCACTATGAGATATTCTATCATCAAAGACTATATACATGTTTTTTAACTTAAATTATCCATATATTTCAATTCCATTATTTTTCTGGTGATATACATTATATGAATAAGATCATAGAATAAAATCTCCATTTAGTGGTAGTCAAAAGTGTCACAAAAAAATGTCTCGGGTGACATTTTTCAATCAGATGGTGCTTCTACAAATTCAAATGATGTACGTGCCACGCTAGATATTAGTGGCACTTGAAAGGAAATCATAACATGTTTTTACAGTCACTTTTCCAACACCATTTGTGGCACTTGCAAATGTTTCCCTTTTTTTTTTTTTTTTTTTTTTGAAAAGGGCCACGTAAATGTCACCAATACATATCTTCACTGACATAAAATTTTAAAAATAAAATTGTTGACAAGATTCATTCACTTGATTTTGTGTTTTTTCTTTTCTGCAAGCTAAAGAAATAAAATGAGATGTATAACTGCAAATAAAATAGAATTAGAAATTCCAATTATATTCTTAACTAATAAAATACAATTCAAACCTAGGCCTCGTTTGGAAAGTTGACTATTTTAGTAGGTTATTTTAATTTTTGACTATTTCAATAAGTTGAAATATTTGTATTTAGGAAGACAGTTGGATTTTTTATAGTTGGATGTAATATTTGTGAGAGAAAAAATAAAATAAATATGGATTTGATATGATATTTTGTCTTATTGAATATTTTAGTCTATTTTATCATTTTGTGAATTTTAGTCCAAAAAAAAAAAAAGCCTAAAATTGGCTTCCCAAACACCCCTTTAATATTGTCATTTTGTAGTTGGGCTCCAAATGAATTTGGTAGGCCCAAGTTTGAGCTCAGTTGAACCTAGGCTAACATGTTCTCCACTGGACTGAGTCTATTTTTTTTCGATTTCTTTTTCTGTTTTTTTTCATAGCAAGGTTGACAGTGGAGGGGCCAGAAGGGTTGTCGGGGCTAGAACCTGGAACTAAGAGGTCTCAATTACGAATAAATATTTAGTATAATGACGACATTATTGTATATTATGTCATGACTAGTCAATAAAAAATCATAAATAAAATTGAGCGGACACTGTCTCACACATTAAGGAGTTGTTTGGGATGATCTAAATAAGTGCATTTTTTGTCTTTTTACGAAAAGATGTGCAGAAAAATAGAGAGATGATGTAATGAAAAAAAAGATAAAAAGATAAATTTTGTCTTTTTACGAAAAGATGTGCAGAAAAATAGAGAGATGATGTAATGAAAAAAAAGATAAAAAGATAAAAAGTGTGTAATTATTTAAGATAGCCAAACTTGGCCTAACTTTGAACAACTGAATTTTCTGTATTTTTTTAAATATATATATATATATATATATTAATTTATCATTTTAAATGTTTAATTATGTTTTAAAAAAATTTAAATTTTATGTTAGAGAAATGTTATATGTCACTAATTTTTTGTCACTATTTTATATCACATTATATGAATACTCACAATTATTTCATTTGTTTACCAATAAGGAAGATGATATACAAGCTCATTTTCTAGACCTAGTGATATGCAAGTAATGTGATTGGTTGATAATTACAGAAAATATGTGATAGAATATTGTCTTAAATATCCTAATTGATTACCACATCATTGGGATTAAAAAGTGGATCTAATTTTTAAATTTGAATAGCAATGCTCTACAAATAATTATTACGCAATTAATGACAACTAATAATGTACTTTTATGTAATTCAGTGATTCAAAATGGTGAAAAAAACAAG